GGGGGGGGAGCAAGCTAAAGCACAGGTGGGTGTGATATTTACTTCCGGGACGGAAGTACTGTTTTGGGTGGCGCTGGCTTGAGGGAAAGTTTGTATGTATCTTGTCCTGAGCAGAGAGGATTGGAAGTGAGCGGGCGGAGAGTGGCTTTCAGTTGATTGACAGGGTTGTGATCCGGTATGTCTTAGGTCGGAGGAAGTGGTATGAGGTCGCCAAGAATGTGTACTGTGCAATCATGTTTGAACCGAAAACCATGGCGAAATACCAAAGTAATTAATTACGTCATACAACCATATAAGTAGCCACCCCTTTCATGAGGTAACACAATCAAGTATTTCCCCATGATCATGTTTAAATACTTAAAAGCACTTCCCCTAAGTCTGAAATCTCCGATTTCTTGTGTCTTGCATAGGACGGCCTAAAGAAGCGCATGGATAAGCTCCGTGCACAGCTGGAGGAGGCGCACATCGCACTGGAGGAGGAGAAGCAGAAAAACGTTGACCTCCTCTACGCCATCTTCCCACCAGCCATTGCGCGCAGACTCTGGCTGGGGCAGTCTGTTCCCTCACGGAGGTAAGCCATTTCTATCATCATCATCATTAAGTCTTTTCTATATTAGCACTTGTCAAAATCCCCATCCTTTCCATTTTCTACTTTATGTTTTATGATTTGATAACTCTTTTTAAATGTTAAACCCTACAATGCTCTCGTTAGGTTTTCAATTTCATTCACGTCTCCACTTTCCAACTTTATGTTCTCTGATTTGATAACTCTGGGGCAAGTCAATTGAAAAAAAAATCAAAAACCTACTGCGTACCTTACTTTATCCAGAAAAGACATTCTAAAGAAATTGGACCAGGTCCAGGCCATATCAGCTTTAATATTCAACAGGAATAGGTTAATGTCACATCATGGTGTAGAGACTACAAGTCAAAGCTAGCTTCATGATGAGCTATGCGGTTCCTCCAGTCTGATTGAATATGGGTTCAAATCAACAGCGTATGGAGAAGTGACCGAGACAAGTCGCTCAATTATTCCTCCCATCTGCGGTGTGAAGGATGAATATTTATCCTGCTCCACTCTAAAACGTCCTCGATATTTCATGTAGCTTCTCGAGGGCGCGGGTTAATTCCCTGCGTCAGTGTGGGAGGGTTCATCGCCCTTCGATTGTACACCGCTCGCAGTACGTAACGTACATCATTAATTAAATTGTCCTCGCGATCCAAAATTGTCACATAGTATGTAGGGCCTAAAATGTCGTGTTTCCGATTTCAGGCCTGAAAAATTAAGGGTCGGTAGGTAGGTTTTTGTCATCCTTTTTTTTCTTTTAGATTTCGGCTGAAGTGATTCATCAAATACAGTTTAAGAGTATATAATGTAAGTACTGAAATGCATCAGAACCAGGGCTGTCACCAGGACCCGTCCTTCTGGTAGGCTCCATTACATGCCAAAAACTCGGGGTTTGGGGGGTCTTCAGGGTCTTTGGGATCTTTTATGTGCTATTTTCTGATTGCATATAGACAACATAGCCGGCCTGGTTGAATTACCCCCGTTAGAACTGGGCTAATCAGAAAACAGCCGAAGACCATCAAAACCCCAGTTTTATAAACCTGTTACGGAGGCTATCCTTCTGGTTGCTTGTGGGAAGGAACAAATATTTCACCCGATTCACTCAATTCACACAAAATTTGCTTCTGAAAATGCGTAAAGGTTCAGGGGTTTTGGAATTCAGACGTCAGGTCGAAAAATCTATGGCCTTGCAAGCGGTCAACCCAGAAAAGGGCTAGGGTCGATGGGGTCAAAGCTGAGCTAGGCCACTAGGAGTATCCACATGAGCACACACATATACAGAGGTCAAAGAACTATGGGACGGGTCATAAACATTGATCTGCACTAATGAAAAATGACGGACCTTAGGGAGATGATCAATAATGGCAAATAATCAATACATACGGTAAAAATGCTGTGATAAGCCATATCATATGTATTATAATCTTCTTTACTACCCCCAACAATTCCGTAAGAGGTATCACCGAGGGGTATAATTTGACATCAAAGCTGCTTCTTAAGCAATTCGTTTTCGGGTAAAGCAAAAATGCTTCGTTTCACCAGTGATGATTGTTTATTAGTCCTCAGTACCTAAATTTTGGCAGATTTCGACAACAGATGCTTTAGAGGTCACTCTAGCTCATCTGTCCTTTATATCAGTGAATATATATAGCGGCATTGGCACGTATGCAAATGTGCTTGTTAGGTCAATGCACTGAGTGATTGAATTAATAGTCCTGACACGTCCAGAGCAACACCTGTTTTATAAGGGGAATCAGAATATATCAAATCTATAGCCTGATGCACTTCATCAGCAATATTGTTCATAACATCAGGTCTTGGCAACTGCCATCGCCTCAAGCACATAGATTGCATTACCAGATAGTATTAGTAAATTACAAAGTATTTGCGTGGTATGTTCTTGAATTTCTGCCAATCTCGTAAGATCAAAGATTTACTGAATATATTAAAGTACAACCTTGAATATAAGGTCCTCCCTACCCTCAGGCGAAGTGACTCTTTGTACGGCCCGTTAGTCTTTCATTACAGACCCTCAATCATTTGAAAAGTAATTGCCTGGAATAAACGTGTGATCTTATACATGGTGCGATCTCAGCAAGCTGGCAAAACTGGTTATTTTTGGCATAGTCGTGCATGTGACATACAAAATCTAGCTGTCTTGTTACGGAAAAAAGATCTAAGATCCTAGTCGGCGGTTGGTTCTGCCACATCCTGTTTGAAAATCCTACGGTATTAAAATGAATGAATATATGAAAGACCTTTATTGTACGTTCATGCTCTTTCATGCTAAAGTACAGATCATGAATAAACAGGAAAAATTGCAGTAATATCTTACTTAAACTATACATACTAATGTACTATGCAATACTATTTTTTATATTCCAACATGTAATCATCAGACGTGTTGACGGCACACTCAAGTTATATCAACTTATATTAATGCCGCTACCAACACAGTGGACAATACAATACTCATTTGTACCTGAGCGAAGTGAGGAAAGTCGTGTTAAGTGCCTCTCCCAAGGGCAATACTATTTAGATCGTACAATGACCTACGTCGCGCCGTTACTGAATACACTGAATATAACCTTGATATCTAACGTCTCCACTGCTTCACTCGCCTGAGTCTAGTTTGCTACAGCAGCGAAGCGACCCTTTGTAAAACCCGCCAGTCTTTCATCACACATCTCGCATTGATCTCCATGTGTGACCTTTTGCCGCGGGAGTTAATCCCTCGGACTAAGGAATTAACACCGATTCGGGAGGGTGTCATCATTTTTCTTTTGGTTTCAAGGTTAGGCCTCGTTATATGGGTGACTTCTTTACTGCTCAGAATCCTCTGAAACGCTTTTTTATGTGCAAAACAGCAAAATTCACAGTCGTGGCCGACATTGTATCCTTGGGTTTGCACATTAAGCTGGTCGTACCGCTTCGTTAAACGGCAGGGCATCATCATTTTTCTCTTGGTTTCAAGAATAGGCCACGCCGGCCTCATTATATGGGTGACTTCTGTACTCCGAGGGTTCCTCTTAAACGCTTTTTATGTGCAAAACAGCAAAATTCACAGTCGTAGTCGGCAATGTATCATTGGGTTTGCACATTAAGCTAGTCGTACCACTTCGTTAAACGGCAGGGTATCATCAGTTTTCTCTTGATTTCAAGAGTAGGCCACGCCGGCCTCATTACATGGGTGACTTCTGCACTCCGAGGGTTCCTCTTAAACGCTTTTTTATGTGCAAAACAGCAAACTTCACAGTCATAGTCGACAATGTATCCTTGGGTTTGCACATTCTGTATCAGTACAGCCGGTATACCCACCCTTGGGCATAACACACCAGCTTCGCAGTCACGCGGCGCGGCGGCAGCTAGGCATATCATACCGAACGACTTGTTACACTCAATCTTTGCAAACTTAATTGCAGGAGTTGTTTAAAGCTTTCCAGTGATGATGCCCCAACTGTGCTTGGTGGCAACGAGTTCCAGTCTACGATAGTTCTGGGGAAATACGACTTTTTGAACACCTCGATTCTTGGTTGATAACTCTGCTATTTGAAGCTAGTCTTACCACTGCAATAAACGAGAGGTACATGTAGAGCAATATTTCACAGCTCCATCAAGCAGTAGGGGATATTTTCGCAACGACAAGCACTATACTGATTAATGAGGTATCTTGTTCCCATTTATCAGTTGGAACTCGAGATGAAACACAAGTATATGTGCCAGGGCCGTTATAATATTGTACGCGTTAATAAAAGAATGTGATTTATACTATCATGAAAGTGTTGGTATTTACACGTTTAAAGGTGTGTTGGAACAAACGTTTTACCTTTAACAGGATATGATTCATGTAAAAGCCAACTTTTCAGTTAAGGCCATCTGTCAAATCTAGGGAATAAACGACTTGGATAACTTAGCAGGTGTATTCCAAATCAATGGTTTTCTATTATATTATGTAGCAAGTGGTAGGATGGAGTTGGAGGGGCTGGGCACTATGTTTACGTAAGATTAGAGAATGTAAAGAATAGAGTTTGTTGGGCTAAACCACGACACGTGAAATGTGAGGTTTGGGTAACAGGTGTATTGAGCTGGATTTGGGTTCAAGTCGACCATTATATTTGCCTTCCCCCTAGAGTATTGGTGTGAGGCCCGAGTTGATGTGGTCTCGATCTCCGTTATTCGAGCACGTTGCTTGGATCAATACGACACGCCGCAGTTTTCCATCCAAATTTAGTTCCCGCTGCGTTCAAGTCAGCGGCCCAATTCTCTAATGCTTCGACGGCCGATGAACTTTTGATTGCAGCGCGCCAGGCAGCCAGTGCCGGTCGCCTGGCACCAAATCGTGTTAACTACCACCTGTGGCTTTGACTTGCGACGCCACTAATGTGATTTCGAGAATTTAAGAAATAACTCTCCGAAGCTGAGCTGGTAACAGTTTCAATCTATCAAATGCTAATGAATCCATCACGGCTTGAAAGCTGGCCACGGAGAAACGCTCTCATTCGTCCTACGAAAGGTTTAGACAAGTTGATAGCATTCTTCCGTCGCGACTGCGTCGTACGTATATACGTCTTTCAGCCTTCTTGTGACGAACGCTCTTGTCTGGGTCTTTTTGACGGTCTGTTCTGTCACAGCCTTGCTGATTCGGCGTCATAAGACATTATAAGATTTTGATGTCGTAGCACTGTCAAGCAGGCTATTGTACAACCAACCACCGACAGTGATAAGGATCTTAGACAACTGAATGTACGTAAGACACATAAACAACCATACCAAGAATTCTCTGTGACCAAACATGCAAGGGGCATGGAGAATATCGAACAAGGATCATCTCTAAAATACCCAAGTCAATACAACAATCGTTTATCCAAGAAAACAGTTGCTCAACCAATTGGATAGATTTTGACAATCTATCCAGTTCGTTGAGTAAGGTTTCTTGTGTATCTCATTTACCTACATACTAGTATCTAACTTTAATCAACCAATCGCTTATCACGTAACCTTTTTCCACAAAAGCCGTACCAACATGACAAACAGAAGATTAAAATGGCGTCGCGGTAAAGAAGCTTGACGCTGATCGTCCTCCAGAGAGACGCCTGGTGAAGGATGACGTCGTTACGTGGGCATACGTCTCACTTACCTGGCGCCAGGGGACCCTTGCATTAACCTGACGACGCTATTATCTGTGACGTATGAGATTTGTCTCTACTCTGTAACTGCCACATTAGTGTTTGTTGTTCAGTAAATATACTATCGAACTAGAAAGGTACCAACTTCTTCAAAACAAATACCTGTCTGGCTAGACCTGTAACAACAAACTCTGCTCTGTTTATTTCTACTTAAAACATTTATATACATGGTGCTCAGCTTTATCTGTATCTGTATCTGCATCTGTATAGCCGGTATAACTGCCCTTCGGCGTAACACACCAGCTTTACCCCTCAACAACACCCCTCAATATAGATAACGAAGCTGGACTCCAGCCTACCTCCATCCTGCTACTTGCTACATAATGTAATAGGACACCAAAGAGAGCAAAAGCAACGCGTTTTACTTCTGCTATGTGTGACGTCGGCGCTGGGTCAAAGTTCGTCGGAAGTCGGTACCGCCCACCGTCACGGTTTAGCCGGGTTACCAAACCTATTTTGGCTCCCGAGTCCTACATACAAATGACATACTCATTGCGGAGAGGATGTAGGACTCGGAAGCTAAAATAGGTTTGGTAACCAGGCTAGTTCCAGTTGAGAGAATGTTTCTTAGGTCGTGTAAAATGCAGTGTGAATATGCAATGTTCCTGGGTGCTGCCGCATGGCTGCACCACCTGCCGCGCTACTAGGCCCCGTTAAGTCTACTTATTATTGTTTTAACTGTCATGCATATACAGGATCACTGTTTTGTATTTTTATACACATTGTCTATTTATTTGTCGGCATGGTGGCCTTGAAAAGGTGTACTTAGGTCCACCTGTTCCATCATGCCTTCCATGTACATGTGGTGAATTGTAATAAATAAATAAATAAATAATTAAAAAAAATATTATCTCACCGGCTTCTGTTTGGTTCCAGGATAGAGAACGTGACCATGCTGTTCTCGGATATCGTGGGCTTCACGGCGATCTGCTCCTCCTGCACGCCCATGCAGGTCATCAACATGCTCAACGACTTGTACACGAGGTTCGACATCCACTGCGGGGCTCTGGATGTGTATAAGGTAAGGTCTTGTTTTTACACCATGGACTTCTTTTGTCATTTAGCCTGTGTACACTCGAGGACGCTATCCGGCAGGGCGAAACCGGTCTTGACAGGCTGAAGAAGAGTTCTAAAAGGAAACTACCGGTGGCACAAGTGGGTAGAGTGCTCGCCTTGCATTCGGTACGTTGTGAGTTCGGCCCCCGGTCGAGTCATACCAAAGACTTTAAAAATGGTAGCTACTGCTTTCTCTGATGAGCACTCAGCATTTGGAGAAAGAATATATATGGGAGTTAAACACACGCCCCCTGCTGTAGTGATTGCACTGTAAATTTAGTTGTGTGTGGCCCAGGGCTACTGATACAGAGATGGGCGCCGACCTATGCGTTACCTGATGCGGGAAGGAACTTAAACAAAACGAAAACTATACGCGACTATAGATGTCTTACTGATACTGTGGTATGAAAGATGTCGGTTGACTTGGGGAATGGATCCACTTTACATGGTAAAACAAACGGCGTATGGCAGTTTCAAACTTTTACCTCACCCACGCGCACAAAGACTCATCAAGGCACCACCCGTTGGGGTTACAAACTTTTTTATCATTAAGCTTAAACGCCTTCAGCACACAGCGATATCGTTCACAACCGTGGATGGTCGTTCGTCTTCTGTCGTTATAACTGCATTTGGAACAATGGTGCCATTCCTTACCTTTCAAGCGAAGAATAACAATTGCATTACTCACTTCTAGGTCTGCTGTTCTGCATGTTAATGTAGACTCGTCACAGACCTACTTTCCTGTTATGTGCTTGGCCTTGTTGGGGGCTCAATCTGGAAATGTAAATAAATAGACGTAAATTTTAATTCTTATCTCTAACACCAAAGAATGAGAGTTTGGACTGTACAGCAAGTCTTTTTCAAGAAATCCATCCATCCCTCAATGGAGACGGGACGCTATAGACTACCTGTCACGTCTTATTCATTTTTTTAACAAATTTAATGTCAGTCATAGAGGGTAATTTATTCATTCATTCAATAAGACTTTTGCTGTAGAGTGAAAACTGTGGGAGAATCTAATGTTTTGCTAGAACTTACAGAAGAAATGTTTTCTTTTGATTGAAACACCAAACTGAAACATCCCCTCCACACACAAGTGGGTGTGGCGTCGGTGGCTCAACGGTTAGAGCGTTGGACTCGGAACCAATAGGTCCCGGGTTCGATACTCACCATGACCCGACATTGTGCCCTTTGGAAAGGCACTTTACACGACTTCCCCACCTATATGGTGCATGGAGTGACAATGCCCACCAAGCTTCTTAGGCTAATCTGTCTGTGTGCCAAAACCACACTACGGATTTGGTGCGCCAATGTGTCAACATCAGCATATTTGCCACCGAGAGCTGTTAATTTTTTTTTATCACCCCAGGTAGAGACGATTGGAGACGCCTACTGCGTGGCGTGCGGGCTGCACAAGACCTCTCTCACGCACGCGCAGAGGAACGCGTTCATGGCTATTAAGATGATGGAGTCTGCGGAACAGGTGTGCTCACCTGACGGCACGCCCATCAGGGTGAGGGACACGTACACATACGCGATGATGTGGTATCATTTATCATGTTTGCCGAATGAAAACATATTGTTTTTGCTCAGTTTCTTCTTCTCCAAATAGTGACCTCTGACCTAGTCAATGACCTGAACCAGACCGTCTCTCACCATGGTAACTGGTGTTGGGTTACATCATGTTGCAATTTTATAGTAGGAGGGATTTAGGTTCCTGTTTGACCATATATGTGAATGGCTGACATCACATCTTCGTTCTACAGACATCAACTTTGTAACTCACCTTTGTCACATATGTCAGAGTAGAGACTCCGATATGTTAGAAACGGCAATTCTACCAGTAGAGATCCGAGTGTTAGCCTAAGGGTAGTTTCCCATTTAAAAATCCTAAATTTCACCGCAATCTGTTTATCTAAAGTGACATGAATCAAAGTTGAAACGTTCTGACTGTCTTTTAAAGGAATAGCTTCAAATTGGCAGATCGCAATCTCCACCCTGACATATACACTGAATACAACCACGGACGCCCGGGGATCCATGTATTCATATTAAACTTTGTTACGGGGGAAATTACGGGGTAATCTGCCTTTATTAGGATCGATAAACCCCGGGGCAAAGCAAAAACCGGTGTAACGATGTATTATAGATGCTTTGGACAGCTGAGAAAACGAGTAGCTGCCAGCCTGGGGTTACGTAGATGCAGTTATTGTGACCGGCGTGGGACCTCATGGACTCGCCAAAAATACTTTTAGTAGCCAATTTCATAGCCATAAAATTACTAAAATATATATCTGTATGGATTTTGGCAAATGATAAGACAATGCTTAAAAACAGTGAGAGAATGTAATTTTGGGACGTTTGAAAGAAAAACAAACACGATTTCTATATTTGCTATAGTAACATCTTTTGTATCATTTTCCTTTGCGAAGAATGTTATTTCTGATATTTGAATAGACCATTATATAAAAGGTGAAACATCTCTATTTGCCCTCCAAGACAACACAATTAGCAGGGTCAAACACACACAATAACTGCACACAAGCATCAAATACTTGTCTCTTTTTTCGTCCATTGAACATAGTACAGGGCATATATAAATCAAGCTTTCAAGCATAAGACATGTTCTTGCCGTCCACAGATGAGAATAGGCCTGCACACCGGTACAGTTCTAGCCGGGACGGTCGGACAGAAGATGCCTCGGTACTGTCTGTTCGGGAACAACGTCGCTCTGGCCAACAAGTTCGAGTCCACCAGTGTACCGCTAAAGATTAACGTCAGTCCCACTACATACAGGTGCGTCTGAAATGTTTAATGTTTACCCTTTAGCCATAGCTATAGTTTTAGACAAATACCTTTCATTATGTAGATTTTAGTTATCGTATAATCTGTACCAATGTTCTTGTATGTTTGTAATTTGCAATTAGCCTCCAGGCATGAACTTGCAATAAACTTCTCTCATTGTTATGACCGAAAACCAATACTGCATGAAATCCAACATTTAAGCATACATTAAAGTATGCGCAAAAGCTCCGTTTTTCTGCAGTTGGGACCTTTACACATGCCTTATATATCGGATTTCAGACAGTGCAACCGTACCTTACTCCGTTTGCAAGCCCTATAGTTTTCACTAACTCTAATCCTTTAGCCCCACTAGTGCCACTACCTACAGGTTCGTTTGAAATATTTATAGTTTCATTTCGCAGACGTAATATATGTTGTAAGGGGAACCAGAAAGCCTGAAGGCTTATACATCGACATTTCTCTGTAGAGCTGAACATTTGCCAAGAGATATCGAGTTCCTCTGGTTGAAATATCTCATGTTAACATCGCTCAAAATGTCGTTACACCTGATAACGTTCCAGGAGATATGAACGCTAACGGGTGCAATAGTCAAGTTTAGAGATAATGGCGACCGCCAGTTGAACCTGACTTTTTGAACAGCGTTGCTGTGCAAAGAAAGCAGATTTCATACATACAGACAAATTAATGCAAAAACATCATCTCAGAACTAGATGCTTGGCTCGATTTACACACTCCAAAATTTTCTGTAAACCTAGAGTTGTCTCCCTCATCCCTACAGTTTAAATGAATTCTTTCTATTTTAACGAGGTTATTATTTTTCTTGGGTTGTGCTTTTTTTCTCATTACGATTATAAAAATCACTGGTATGATTTTTGTTATCGCCACGTGATCAACACGTAACCACTACGCGATCAACACGTGATTGCCACGTGATCGTCACGTGATCGTCACGTGATGAATACGTGATTGCCACGTGATCGTCAAATGATCCCAGGAAATCTGTAGTTCAAGTTATTTAACTTGAGTGCATCTGGCCCGTGTAGGGCGTGAATATGCAATAAAGTTCATTGTCATTGCTATTGTCATTGTCATTATAAATAAGCAGAATTTTTTTCTTCTTTTCTTCTCCAGTTACCTAATCAAGTCCAAAGGTTTCCACTTCACCCCGCGGTCACGTGAGGAGCTGCCGGAAGGTTTCCCCTCGGACGTTCCCGGAATCTGCCACTTCCTGGAGAAGTATGACGTACAGCCTGGTGATGACGTCATAGAGGACCTGCAGGAACCCAACCTGTACATGCGCAGCGAGACGACGCGGCGAACGACCGAGGTCACCATCCAAGTGGGGGCAGAATCTCGGTCATAAGTGTCCAAGAGAACTGTACTTGGCTTTGGCTAATCTCCAAGCAGATCTTTCTAGTGGCTCCAAAGACAGACAAATTGGTCAGACTGTATCCATTGGCCGGACACTTGCCATTCGCCACCCATTGGGGTGTAACTGGTAACTCTCTGGTAATAGGAGACAGTCTTACCAATTTGACACTGTCTTTGCAGCCAGCAAAAAGATATTCTTGGAGATTAGGCTTTCTGAGCCGACTTAATTAAGAAATGTTCGCGTAGTAGATCAGGTATTAGCACGCCAGGTGTGCCATATCGTGATGCACTAGCTGCCAATGTACAAATCATCGTCTGCGCGTTCTACAGTACAGGTAAATACAATCACACGGTGTACTAAGGTTTTAGAAGAGAGACAGAGCCATGTAACGCCATCCTGTATGCATGGTTTATGTGTTAGAGATATCGTTTATTTACTGAAAGTTGGATTGTAACATAAGTGTAATATAAGACACTATATATACATGTACACCTTTGCAGTAATAATGTAGCAGAGGAGAACTCGTGATGGTTTGGTTGAGAATGTTAAGAAAAACCTGGAGAAAGGAGTACGATGCATAGTTCACGTTGCCTTACGTTTGAAGCCCTTTTTAGGCTAGAGAAGTTGCTTTCGGACCCACAGTTCACAGTATACACCATTACTTTTACTTTTTTTCTGAAGTCTTTGAATGGCAAGGACATAGAGTCGGTTCGGCGCTTTCTTCTACCGAAAACCGACAGTACATGAAATATTTGAGGATACCTTAAAGCATTCGTAAAGGTTGTTTTTAAGTCTACGTATCATAATTACGCATGCTTTAAATATTGGACTTCAGACAGTGCAACCGTGCGTTGTTCCCTTTACTCGCCCCATATGAGTAACTATATCCAATCCTTTAGCCAACCGAATGCCGCTACGACCGCTCTAGGCACATTGATATTCGCTCCAAAGGGACAAATGAACCGCCATCCAAACGGAAAACCAAATGAGTTTTATGTTACAGACCTATCGCCTAATCAGTTCCCGAATCTCTTGAGTACGCACACGTACAGCTTAGAGACTTGAGTAATTAATCCTACGCGGCCTATAAAGTCGACCATGCATGTATCATGGAGGTTATATACTGCTCTTAAACATGTCAACGCTGATTAGCACACGTCCATTAGTTTGTGTGATAAAAAAATCCCGATGTTAATCTTTGTTTTATTGTACGACCAAAAACCATTGAAACAACATCGATGAAAAATTGCGTGTCGCAAACGTTTCGTAATGGCTGCTATTCGTACCTTTTGATCTTCTGTGTGTTTAAGCAAGCGTAGCTGACGTTAATTCTGTGCGGCGTGGATTCTGAAGGTACGCCGGCCATTTTAAGATGCGTGTCATGCGTGGTTACGCAAGCACTGAATCAATCGCTTAAGCCCCCGTCACACATTCGGAACCTTCCCCCGAACACCAGCCGACCAAGGTTGGCTGAAATTTGTGCGCAGTCTGACCAGATTTAGGTCACGCCTACCTTTCTGCTCGAATCGAATTGAGTTAAATTTGGGTCAAATTTGACTGCTAACCATGCCCCGAACTACTCCCGAACACCAGCCAACCAAGGTCGAAACTGCCTGAAACAGTAGCCGACCGCCGAACACCAGCCAACCAAGCTTGCTCCAGATCTTCTCCTAACCATGGCTGGGGAGACTTCGGCAGTGTTCAGGAGGCCATGTTTGTCTATGTGGCTAGCCGGCTCTAAGCGGCTACAACAGGGCTTGGTCATGCAGTCACATGGACTCTTTTGTAACATGCTTTTTTAGCACAACATAGTCCTTCACATCTCTCTCCAGAGCGAATATACACTAATGACCTTGTGTCAGCGATGTGGTGACCTCTCCGACCTCCAGTCCCCCTTGTACCGACTAATTTACCGGGTTTTGTTCGGCCTGTATAACCTCCTTGGTCTGGCCGCGCTGATTTGATTATATGGAAGACATCCGCTCGCGCATCAATTTTCATTCAAAAATAAAAAGGTTTGCGACCACACTATTTCTTTACACCCAGTTCACACTAAGAAAATTGAATCTGTTTGAACATCAAATCGTTTCAGAAATGATCTATTTGGACTGACAAATGACAGAGGTTGAAAGGAAAAGAAAACGAAGATGCCAGAAGAAGGAAAGCAGGGCTCAAATTACCACATGCTTGTCACCACCAAGTCTTCCAAATTAAAAGAGATGAAAGAACACAAATAGGGAATGTATTGTTTGGTATACCTTGCTCTGTATCTGTGTGTGGCTGGTGTTCAGCACCAAGGACAGGTATATGTGTGTGCTTGATGCCGAACCATAGATTGTACGGCATGCCATATTCTGTGTGCTCAGTCACTTGTTAAACCTTCCTGACCACTTAGATAAATTTAAATTGATTTATTTGCCCAACTTTTTGCACGATCAGTGTTAAGCTGCTCACTGGATGCCACCCATACAGTCAAACCAATATGGCCTAATTGGGGCCAAGGTGCGAACCATGTGCGAACCAAGTCATGCTAATCATTCAACTTTGCTCTGCTCTGTTTCTCAACACGAAATTGGATCCACATAAAAGAGATATATGTAGCCAGTAAAGCGGGTATGGTGATTTAAAGCTCCTTGCATTGGGTGAAGTGACAACCATATGCATGGATAGACCAAGGAGGTTTCAATACTAGTATGTTGTCACGCTATACTCTGACAAAACCGCGGTTCTTTGCAGCGAATTCACGTTTGCCAATGCAAAGTTGACTCCCCCCTTATCTTCATAACAAAATAGCGCTTACTGCATTCATAGTATTTTTTTCAAGGAGCCCCCCTCCCCCAAAGACTCACATCCGGATCCTTATCGAATAGCATGCTGGGACACTGCACTATATTGTGACCGTTCTAGTCCATAGGGTCGGTATTTCACTTGCCAACACCTTTATATCATTCACAACGAGTGAAATATCTCTGGCTAAGACCTCCAAAATTAAAGAGAGATTGGTGAACTAATAATCTTTGTCGTGAAAACGCTGCAACGTTCTAGCAAGCGACAGTCAGCTACAATGCCAACCCGTGCAACTGTGAACACAGCTTACTAGTATGCAACATCGAAGTTTCAAATTTATGAATATCTTTATTGTAGACGCAAGAAGCTCTTCTGCAGATAGTTGATTCGTTTTTATATTCGTAGACGATATTGTGACATGGAATTTAAGAGGTGTAAACTTGAAAGTAGTATGTATAGAAGTTAGCACTCATTGTATAAATTGTATTCTATCACAAAAATGGTAGATGACCTGTTTATGATGTATTTTCCTAGGGTTGTGCATAACTGGATTTCTAGAGCACGGGATTTTTTTGCATGACTAATTCTTAAATCATAGTTCCATGTCAATATTTTTGATCGCAACATTGTGATTGTACTCAGAACTACTGGACAATATTGAATAGCAAAGTTATTTTTCACAACCACTTGTATCACAAGAGCCGACGTTTCGATGGCCGTCTGTCATCTTCATCAGTGCAATTCTGGCTGGTTCATTGTGCACTGACGCTATGTAGATGTAGCCTCTACCAGGCTTCGGAAAGAGTAGAAATCGGCCAAATAGAGAGATAACATGCCAGGGGAGTTTTTCTGCTGGGAGACAATATTCGGGTGTGGCAAAATATTCTCATCAAAACGTAACGTCGGTTGTTTGCCAAACAATTGGTTGTGGATAAAGAACTTTGCGATTCAATCATTCACCAGCCTGATGAACTCATTGACGGATAGTGGACAATGTGCAATATATAACTAGACAACAGTTCACTTTAGTGTATCGTGCTATATTTCTAACTCATGTTAATGTCCATAATTTATATGCTTCGTTGTAGATCACAATTTCTGTTATATTCTTTGAAACGATAATACAATAATTTGGTAGTCCAGCAGTAAAATAATGAAGCTATTTTGTGCTTTGTAAACAACATCTTTCTTTGCACATTTCAGAATATCTACAAATATCCAACGAAAGGTAAATATTGTATCAAAATAGAATCTATACAAGTGTAGAGATTTTGTAGAGATATGTAAAAGTGTAAGAACATATTTGTCCGTTGGAAAATGTAGATTGTTACTACGCATCTCGCTTGTAGGTGCTTTAAAATGCCTTGAAAAATACGTGTTGGAGTTTCAAAGTGCGTTATGAATAAAGTCAAATCTATGTATTTCGCACAAATTTGACTCATTGTGTTTTTTCTTAGTTTAAGAATTTTCCCAGATTTACTATTTGACCATTTCTGTGTAAAGATGGAGTGAGTGGGTGAGTGAGTGAGTGAGTGAGTGAATGAATGCTTGAATGAGTGAGTAAATGAATGCATTAATGAATGAAGGAGTCAGTCATTGAGCAATGAATGAGTGAGTGAGTGAGTGAGTGAGTGAGCGAGCGAGTGAGTGAGTGTGAGTGAGTGAGTGAGTGAGTGAGTGAGTGTGAGTGAGTGAGTGAGTGTGAGTGAGTGAGTGAGTGAGTGAGTGAGTGAGTGAGTGAGTGAGTGAGTGAGTGAGTGAGTGAGTGAGTGAATGCTTATTCCCTGTCAACCAAGTGAAACCCAACCTCCGCCCACTCACTTCGGAACCCAAACATACAAACCTAGCATGAATTATCGCCACCCAAAACCAAAATATGAGTCTAACATTTTCTGTAGAGCATTCACAGATCTGCATGGGTTGTTTTTATGTTGGTATTTTTGTCACGAACATGAAGCTTTTGCCAGGAGCTATACTTATAGTCATTAGCGCCTGTATACGCTGGTTGTGACGTGTGCCGGTAAATCGTGGTAATGCCACTCTAACTAACATTAGCTTCACACCTACGCAATACAGATGTATGCCTGACGATAACAGCCACTACGGATATTATACGTTCTACGGGATTTGTCGAAGATCCTTCCATATTTTCTTTATCTCACTTATACAAGTACCAGTCCATATTCTTATTGATTTAAGCGCGT